ATCAGTTTTAATGAGTACCAAGACCATTGTCATAGAGTGTTTAGTATCAGATGTATTGTATGATTTGTGTTAGATTTTGCTTCCAATGTTTTTATATCCCTTTATTTATTTTGCCCCTCCTTTTAGATTTTTTTTTAGATTTTTATTTTTACCCTTTTCAGTTTTTTAATGCAATTTTATTTTTGTTGTTTTTTATTGCTTTAAAATTTCTTCTGCTCCACCTTCCCCATGCTGTTGTTTATAATAAAGGTTGATTTGATGTAGTTTGGCATCACTTAAATTGAATTCAAATGGAATTGTGGTGTTATAAATAATCTCCAAGTATGTTTTTAATCTTTCTTCCCCATTCTCTAGCATTCATGTTACAATTTGTTCCTAATTTTTCAAGGACTTGCATCCCTCTCAGAGTACCTGGGCCCCAGGTTATAGACCTCTGTTCTCTTGATGGCAAGAGAAGTTCGCTTTTTTGGCTGCCAGGATAGCTGAAAAGCACAGCAATGTCTTAATAAGGAACTTCAGTAGACAAAGAATGTGGAACAGCACCTAGGCAAACATGTCTATGGCCCGAATTTTCTGGAACTGTAGTCCCAACACATTTGGCAGACAGCTGTCTCGGAAAAAACACCATACATGGTCAGTTGATGTCTAAATCAATTGGCACATTAATAAAGAGTATGGGGTCAACACATCAATCCTTAAGTAACTTTGTAGATGTTTTTTGGTTTTAGAACAAAAAGAAGAGTAATTACATTGCTGGAAATGTTTCTCCTCTGTTCCTTGGATTGATGTTTATATTCCATCTGAGCACAGAGTGGGTTCTGCTAAAAATAACTGTTTTTTAAATAATAAGATATAGTCATACTCTAAGCTCATTAATCAGCGGGTCAAGAGAAACACAAGAAGAGTATCCTCTCATGGTTTGATGCAAGATCATTTTCCTAATTATTAGAACCTTCTCTCTTACAACCTGGCTGGACAGACATTGTGGAAAAAGTGCCTTGCAGCAGATGACTCTGGTCTTAAGACAATTGAGTGTTGCAACTCCTTGCCATCAAAGAGAAGGACCCATAGTACCACCACCAGAATGGCTGGGCTTCTTTTTTCCAGACAAATGATCATGCAATTCTTTTAACCTTATATATTCAGAGGTGGTATATTCAGCAGGTTCTGACCAGTTCTGGAGAACCGGTAGTGGAAATTTTGAGTAGTTCAGAGAACCAGCAAATACCACCTCTGCCTCCTGAGTCCCAGCTGATTGGCTGGGTCTTCTTTTGTTGCCTTGCACAGGAGAACGGAGCTGGAAAGCAGGTTAGTGGGGTAGGAAGCAGTGGTGGGATTCAAAAAAGTTTACTACCGGTTTTGTGGGTGTGGCTTGGTGGGCGTGGCAGAGGAAGGTTACTGCAAAATCTCCATTCCCTCCCCACCCCACTAACCTGCTTTCCAGCTCCATTCTCCTGTGCAGAGCAACCAAAGAAGACTCAGCCAATCAGCTGGCACTCAATGGGAGGCCGAGAATAGATGGGGGCAGGGCCAGTCAGAAGTGGTATTTGCCGGTTCTCCGAACTACTCAAAATTTCCACTACCAGTTCTCCTGAACTGGTCAGAACCTGCTGAATACCATCTCTGGTGGGGAGGGAATGGGATTTTGCAGTAACCTTCCTCTTGAATGCCCACAGAACTGGTAGTAAAATTTTTTGAATCCCACCACTGTATATATAGGGAACTCCATCAAATATGCTTTTGTGAGTTATACCCCATCTGTCAAATTATATTTATATTAAATAATTAAAACTCTAACCCTAATAATAATTATAAATAAAAATAACAATAAACTCATCTTAAATTGATTATGTTGCCATCAAGTCAATGCCAGCTCTTTACAGATTTTCTCTGTGTGATGATTTACCTAATTTGGTCTTTTAGGCCTGCCAGACGTTAACAGCACTTTCAGGTAGGTCAGATTAGAAACCAAATTTATGAATACTTATACTATTTTTATTATAGGATTAGAGTAACAGAATCTTGCAAATCTGAACCTGCCTTTTCTATACAAGAATAAGGGAGGATCTGGTCCAGGGGTATCAAACTCAGTTTCATTGAGGGCCGCATCAGGGTTTGACTTTGGGGGGCTGGAGTGGGCATGGCTGGGGTGGGCAAAGCCAGAGGTGTGGCTAGCCCGATGTCACTTGTTGAGGTTCTGTTTTCGGTTGTGACAGCCTCTAGCAGCTCTCTGCCAGTGAAAACAAAGCCTCCCCAAGCTCCATTTTTGCTGGCAGGGGGCTGCAGGAGGCTGTTGTGGCCAAAAACGGAGCCCGGTAGGGCTGCATACAGCCTCCTCAAGCTCTGTTTTCTCTGGCAGAGGCACCGCGGGCCGGTCCTTTACTGTTTCTGGGGCAGCCCTACGGGCCAGATCTAACCACCCCATGGGCCAAATCTGGCCTGCGGACCTTGAGTTTGATACCCCTGATCTAGTCTGAGTCCCAAATTACATTTCTGGTTTGGACTCAAATTTCTGTTATCTAACCGTTAACTTGGGTGTGTCTCTTCCCCCTGTTGCTCCAGGTTATTCTCATAGTCTGTTACATCGGTTCACCTATCTGTGGTGTAACTGAGTCCATCCACTTTGCTTCTGGCCATGGTCTTTCCTTCTACCTTGCCTAGCATCAGGGGCAGGTCTTTGCATGATGTGCCTGAAGTAGGGTAATTTGAATCTATCATTTGTGCCCTTGAATGAGAATCCTGGGTTGATTTGTTCAATGTTCCATTGGATTGTTTTCATGCTTCTCAAAGAGTTTTTCTCCCACACCAAAGTTCAAAAATATCAATAGTCTTCCCACTCTGCTTCTTCGAAGACCATCTGTCTTAAATAGATCGTGTTTATTACTTGCATATGGACAAAATCCTTGTGCTACTCAATAAACAGAGTCAGTTTGGATTTGAAATCTTCATGAAATGTAGCACCGGAGCAGGAAGTCAACTTTGCTTTAAAATCGAGCTGTTTGGGCCTTTCCCCCTCCACTTGGCCATGCAACCAAAGGTTAACCATGGTAAAATCAATACCAATAACTCCTCCCCACCTGTTCCCTGACCTAAAAGGCCTCTAACCTCCAACTCGACCAGTCATGGTTTTCTTCTCACTTGGGATCCCTCAGAGGGAACAGCGGCAGCCAAAGTATCAGTCAGGGCTGGGCGTGTAATGAGAACGAGGAGAAAGCTGATAATCCAGCTTGTGTTTTTCTGTTCTCGCTGTGTGTGGTCTGTACCCTACGTAGTAATAGTATCTGTCCCTTGGGGACTGACGTGCCTACATACTGAAAGAAAAAACTTGTGGAGGCATTGAAATTTGTTTGCCACTCGCAGTAAACAGCAATATACACAATTCATGGAGGAGGCCTTTCTTTTGGTTTTCTCTGCCCTCCTAATTTTCTCCCCCTCGATTTAGATTCTTGGTTGCTTTTGGGGGGCAGGGTTTTTTTCCCCCCTTTGGCTCTAGTGACTTCATTCTATCCCATTTTGTTTTCACTAGGAAAGACAGGAGCATCCCTTTGCTGAGGGATCTGTTTTCTAAAGCCTAAGAAGAAGAGCATCTGAGAAGCAGCCGTTGTGTTTGTGAAGCCGTGAGCTCTTGGAGATGGCGGGGATGGGTAACTGGAAATCCTGAGAGAGTAGCAAGCAAACAACTGGACAGTCTCACTGGGAGAACCTTTACACTTGTGAAATCCAGATGGGGAATCCTGCATGGTCAAAATAAAGGATGACTTGTTAGCTTTGGTGGAAAATAGAATGCTCTTCTAGCAAAATGGCTTCGGGTAGCTTGAGGCACCGTTTGTTGGAGCAACTCAGCCATGGTTTCTCTGCATCAGAGGCTTTCATTCTGTCCATGTTCTAAGCTACCAAGGAGAATACTACCTCTGTCCATCTGCCTGTCTGTCGGTCCGTCTGTCCATCTATCCGTCCATCTGCCTGTTCATCTATTCATCCTTCCATCTGTCCATCTGTCTGTCCATCCATCAGTCTGTCCGTATTTCCAGTATAACTTCTGGTGTTCATAACTATAAATATCCATGCTCTGTACATAAATGTTCTCTACAATATGGGCCTTAGCTGAAGTTTGCCAGGTTTTCACTATTTCCAGAAAATAGTATTTTCAGCGCAATGAGGAGAACTAATATGGTCCCAGCAACTATTGATCAGTGAGCCTAAAATGATAGTTAGAAAGATATAAAACCAGATAATAAAGAACATCTTTTTACGAAATTTGCAAGAGGGAATATTTCAAACTAGAACCTGCATTGAAGAATATAGATTATTTAGCAATTGTGAGAATCGTAAGAATTCTTCCATATATCTATTGTCTTCATTGAATGATACTTTATTTTGCTTGGATATTGGCTATACTTTTGTATTTGATGTGTGTTCAATATGTGCATATTGGAAATTTAAAAGGTTTCAAACCCAGGAAGAGTAAGACTGACTTTGCAGTTGAGTAGGCCTTCAAAGATGAGCAAGAAAACACTTACTCTTCTGCCATTGAACAAAAATTGTCCAAAGAAATATAATTGCATGAGAGTTTTGCAAACTAGAAGCATGTGGCTTAGACTTTCCTATGGATAATTTAATGCTTTCAGTCCTTATCTTCCACTAGTATGAAACCACGACTTCAAGATGCTCAAACCAAAGGAACTTGACTTGTATTTCCACTGTTTCTCTAAAGAAGCTCCTGCATAATAGATCAAGGAAATGATATTAAGTAAGAATAAATGAATAATTGAACATTAATCGGGGATGATTCGGGGGTAATCCGAGACTAATGAGGGCTGCATATTTTAAGAAGAGACAGAGAGACCAGTCCCCTAGTCACAGAGGTTAGTAAGTCTGCAGAAGAAATAGGAAGTGGGAAGAAGTCCATGGCGTGCCTGGAAGCTGGGCAGATGTGAAACTCTGGAAGGGGCTCATAGGACCTGTCTTCTGGGTTTTGTCCTGTGTAGTGACATGGAGCAATGGATTATGGATTGGCAAAGAATCTACAACTTAACAGCTTGCTGAAAATCCTGTATATTTTCCCAGCAGTGGTTTATGGTGAGTAACCCATTAGCAATCTTATCAGGCCAGCTGCAATGCAAAAAAAAAAAAAAAGTCTACCTATGAAATAAACAAAATATTTTATTTATTTCTTTTTTGTTTGTGAGTCCCAATGGTGGAATATTTAAAGCCTCGGCCTTACAATAAGGTAATGGGCTTCGATGGAAGACTGTGTACGTTGGATTGTACCTTGGCTGCCTCCTGCTTGTATTTTTTGAATTCTTCTCTCGTTGGTCAGTATGACAACGGTGGAGGACATGATAACTATCGCAAAAGTTGAGATTCAGCCCAGGATACACAGTTATAGTACATTAGTCTAAACTGGTGTGCATGTGGGGGTGTGCCTTGTAGAAAGACTTGTAGAAAATCTTTTTATTTATATTTGTAGTGTTGTGTAATTATTCTAGTTATTGTGTAACTATCATAGTTATTTATCAAATTTGTAGAGCTGCCCATCTTAAATGGCCTTGGATGCTTTCCATGCCTCTTCCCCTAATTTATGTAGCTGTAAATGTACATTTCATTAAATATTGCTTAAAATGCAAACAACCTAGCTTGTATTCATCAATACATAAATATCTATGTTTTGGTGTTTGTTTGTTTTTAATATGAATTTTCCTAATAGAGCCATTCTTTTGGAGACAGCCTATTGTCTGCAATTTAGTCTAATTTCTTTAGACTTTCTTTGTTTCTTTCTTTGCAAATTTCTGAAGGAACAAACAATACTGGAGAACTTTAATGCTGGCATTCACATCTCTGAAAAACCCTGTGAAAACAGAATGCCAAAATATGCTTTCAAATGAATTTGTAGCAGCTGCAATGGGGCAGGTTTTGTGCGTGCCACCTTTTCCTTTGTCCAAAACAGCCAAACGTTAGCTGCTACCTATGAGTAATCCATCCTAACAGGTGTTATTTTAAGATCAACAGTTGGAAAGGTTCCAGAAGAATCATAAGGACCTCAACATGAGGAAATTTAACCTTCTAATAGCAGCTTCTCCAGGTTTCCACCTACTCTGCCACATACATACATATACCTATATTTATTCATTTCTTCTTCATTGCTCAGTATGTTCAAAACATTTTTCATTCTTTAGAATTCTGATGGGTGGATGAAAACCAATCATATCCAAATAAAAGAGAACTATACAGTAAGAGCAAAACAGTCAAGTAAAACCTAATATCAACATACGGAAGTTTCATTAGAGGTGCATAAGATCAATCAGATGAGGCGCTAAACTAAGGAAGGCTGGCTGAGAATTGAACACATGTGGAGCAATGTGCTAGACCAGATCAAAGGTTAATATCTTTTGGTCCACAGCCACAAGCCAAATACTTTTGGGAAACCTCTGTTTCCTGCCATAATTGAAGGGGTTTTCCCTTTTAAAAGTGGCTTAAAAATGAATAATAAAAGTAATCTTGCTTCTCTGCCTTCTCAAGAAATTGGTCTTCAATGGTATATGGATTCTATCAAGCTCTTATCTTCCTAAACTGAATAAGAGGACAGCCAACTGAGTTTTATTCATTAAAAAAAAAATGCTTATTAGTTATTGGAGAGGCCTGAAAGCCTGGCATTAATTGATCAGTTGATTCATTCATTCATTCATTCATTCATTCTTCCCCCAGGTCAGCTTCTCCCTTTGGAAGATGCAGAATATGATGAGCAAGTGGTCAAAGGGGTACATAACCTCTCAGTGAGGCTTGCATGTGGTGACATAGTACAACCCCTGGTTGTCTTCTGGAGTTTCACCAAACCTGGCTCCCTCATTCCCAGAGCTGTGGCCATCAGCAATGGCCTTGAGTCCAAGGTGGAGAAGGCCTCTGCCATTCTGGGGGAGATCAGTTTGAGGAACAGCACCTTAGAGATTAAGAAACTGCAACAAGCTGCAGAGGGACATTTCATGTGCCAAGCGATGTACGAAGTGGATGGAGAGATCAAAGTGGCTTATTTCTACATTGAGCTTCTTGTTTTGGGTAAGTCACAGCTTCTGAGGAAATAGGGTGTTTCCTCAGAGATGAGATCAGAGTTGATTTCTGGGACTTTCCTTCTGATCTTGCAAACATGAAGAGGGATCTGGCTCAATTTCTTTGTCTCCCCATCATCCTGTCAGACCGAAAGGATTCCTGCTTCTAAATAAAGGCCCGCCATTCTAACTAATCCTTTGTTTGCTAAAAGGAAAGTTGCCTCTAGATGAGATTGGTGGGAGAAAGAAAGAAAGAAAGAAAGAAAGAAAGAAAGAAAGAAAGAAAG